AACGGAAATAGCACTAGTATCTACCTCATGGGCATGTATTGTAACCTATAGAGACTTAGAACAACACATGGCCTTTGCACATAGTAAGCACCCAATGGGTATTTGCTGTTATCGTTCAACCACATAGAAGGCAGTGTGCTGGGCATCATGAAGGTAGGAGATGAACACATCACCGTTGTAGCTTCTGTCTTGGAGGAGATTACTAGAAGACATGCCTATCACCCAAATGCAAGGCAGCATATGATATGTTTTTTGACAAAAATCTGACTGTAGTGATTCTTTGTTAACATGACTCCAGCTAATGTTGGAAGCCCTAACATTCTGGAGATTCTGCTCAGAGCCTTGGATTAAAGGTCTGGTGGCTTCAACTCACTGGGTTTATTCTTCAGCTTTATACTTAGTGTTTGGGAGGAATTGCTTCTTTTTCCAGGGGATATTCCTGGCCTTGCTTTGGTGAGGTTACCTCCTATTGTGAGTTAGCTGGGCTTTCCTCTTGGTTCCTGTTTTCCAACTTGGCTGCATCCTGAGATTCCTGGGTTTCCCCCCACCACCTTGGGCAGTTCTAATCACTATAATATTGCTGGTTCTTGGGTTAATGTGGTACCATTTGATCTTCCAAGCCCAGTTTTGCACTATACTGTCTGCTTAGACTCATAGCCAAGGCTGTAATCCTACTGAAGTTTTATAAAGGTTTCATTCAGGGACGCCTGGGTGGCTCAGTTGGTTAAGCAGCTGCCTTCGGCTCAGGTCATGATCCGAGCGTCCTGGGATCGAGTCCCACATCGGGCTCCTTGCTCAGCGGGGAGCCTGCTTCTCCCTCTGCCTGCCACTCTGTCTGCCTGTGCTCATGCTCTCTCTCTCTCTCTCTCTAACAAATAAATAAATAAAATCTTTAAAAAAAAATAAATGTTTCATTCAGTATGAAACTACTTTCAGCCATTTCTGATACAAATCATATTTAGACTAGGAAGAAAGGAACAATTCATTCTGCTGGATAACACAAAATGAACCAACATCCCTATAAATAATAACAGCAACAAAAATATTTATCTTTTTGATATGTGAAATCTCATCTTTTCATGATTCTAGGATTATCTTATTTTTTTCCCCTGGAAGCCCTAATATTCTAGAGATTCATAAATGATAATTAATGCTTCAGATATATAATTGATATGCCTCATATCATAGCAGTATTCCAACATTCATTTACTCACTAAGTCTCTACTTCATTAACAGTTTATTCATGAGACTGATTTAATTTGACTTTGTATGAAATTTTACATAGCACACTAAAAATTTTTTTAAAATCTGTAATAACTACTGCTTAATTTTGTGCTCCATTAAGCAATAATGTTAGTATAGAAGTATGTTAAAAGTTAGAAAATGTAATAGTTTATCTTCACAGCAGCATGTTCTATTAGAACTCCATTTTTTCCTTCCCAGACATTTATTATACATGTAACAGAAATGATAAAATGGCTTCATTTGCACAAGGATATTTTTAAGTAATGGGAAGAATGAATGTTAGAAAATGAGAAACAGTGCTATCAGAGATGCTTAACATAAAACTCTGTACACCTTAAATTTCTTTAAAGCTAGGATAGTTCATTGAAAATTACCAGAATGGTAGGCCGCGAGAGTTTTTAATATTTGTCTTTAAATACAAACACCTAGAAATAAAACCTTTTGCTATAGAGAGCCAAATTAATGTTTTCTTTTTCCTTTTTAAGTGCACATAAAGTCCAGACTTAGAGTAAATGGACAGCATGATCTTCTGACTTGGTTAATTCATGTAATCATTACTTCAGTACTGCTTAATTGAGCAAATATTATGGGTTAGATGCTGTGGTAGCAATAAGTGGTAGCAGTAAGTTGTGATTCTAGTGATTTAAGACATGACAGTATACTTAGGGAGCTACTATAAGCAGCAATTTCATTAATGGCAAGAAGGTGTTTTGGGGTGCCTGGGTGGCTCAGCAGGTTAAAGCCTCTGCCTCCAGCTCAGGTCATGATCCCAGGGTCCTGGGATCGAGCCCCTCATCAGGCTCTCTGCTCAGCAGGGAGCCTGCTTCCTCCTCTCTCTCTCTCTCTCTCTGCCTGCCTCTCTGCCTACTTGTGATCTCTGCCTGTCAAATAAATAAATAAAATCTTTAAAAAAAAAAAAAAGGTGTTTTGTTTTTTTTTAGCAATGAGCTTTTTATTCAGTATCTGTTAAACACTTTACAAACCACACTTGTGTATAATAGAGAATCTCTAGGTACCTATGATCAAAAACAAAGATAAATATGGATATATATCATATTCAACTTAGTCACATTCAAAGAAAGAAATCCCACAAACTATTATTATCATTATAGGGATGATAATGGATTTGTTGGAAGTATCTTCTATCTAATACTTAATTATTTTGTATTATAATTTATCTTGGGTACATTATGTGATTGTATTATTATTGTTACTCTAACTGGAGATAAAAACTAACTAAGCTATTAAACGGAAGTACATGTACCTGTAACCGTGGCTTTCAGAACAAACCCATATGTAGTTTTAAATAATTTTAGAGGCACATTTTAAATGTAAAGAATGAAAATAATGACTCAAGTCTTTTTTTTTTTTTAAAGATTTTATTTATTTATTTGACAGAGAGATCACAAGTAGGCAGAGAGGCAGGCAGAGAAAGGAGGAAGCAGGCTCCCCGCTGAGTAGAGAAACTGATGCTGGGCTCAATCCCAGGACCCTGGGATCATGACCCGAGCGGAAGGCAGAGGCTTAACCCACTGAGCCACCCAGGTGCCCCTAAATGTAAAGAATGAAAATAATGACTCAAGTCTTATAGGTTTTATAAATATCCAGAATACCATGAAGAAGAGTCAAAGTTGCATAAACTTTCAGACACATTAAGTTTTTAGTATTGCCTCTTTTCCTTTAGGAAAGGAAAATACAGAAGAAAATAATAACTGGTCATCTCTGGAACATTATTATTTGATGATTTAGAACTTACTAAAGCAAATGAAAAGTTTTTTGAAAAGCTATCTTAAGAGTAATTTTGTCTCCCATTCCATAATGAACATTCACCAAGCTTTATACCTTCACCCAGTACTTTTTCTTTTCTTATTTTTAAAGATTTTATTTATTTACAAATAAATATATTTGACAGAGAAAGAGACACAGCAAGAGAGGGAACACAAGCAGAGAGAGTGGGAGAGGGGGAGGCAGGCTTTCCACTGAGCAGGGAGCCCAGGGCGGGGCTTAATCCAGAACCCTAGGACCCGAAGACCATGACCTGAGCCAAAGGCAGATGCTTAACAACTGAGTCACCCAGGCGCCCCCGTCCAGTACTTTTTCAAATGACCAATGCCTTCTAAACTTCTGAGAAGACTGACAGTGTAATTGGAATGGTTACACTGTGTGTGGATTGAGAGCAGGGGCTGTGAAATTCATGTCCCACCTGTGCCGCTGAAGTCTTGGGCAAGTCACTCTTTATATGTCCATGTTCTTGTCAGTAAACTGAGTTAGTGGTAAAACTCAGACAATAATTGCAAGGATTTTTGCGTTAATATAATAGTACACTGTGTAGCACATAGTAAGCAAATGTTAGCTATCACAAGGTTAAGCTCCAAAGCTGAAATTTCCTTTTAAAATCAAGCCATATCATAAAAGAGGAAAAAAATGGCTGATAAATGCATGAGAAAATGGTTCACTTCACTAAAAATCAAGAAATATTAACATGCAGTAACTTTTCTAACTTTTTTTTAAACTGGAAAAAACCGGGCACCTTCGCAACAGGCAACCATTGTGGAAGGCAGTTTGCCCTGTCCTCGTATACATAAATGTCTATCTCTTTATTTCTTATTTTAAATAAAGAAAATGTTCTGACATGAAATGGTGCCCATGACCTAATGTGAAATGAAAATACAATTAGCATGATTTCACTTTTGTGGAAAAATGTGAGAAAAAAATATGTGGTTTTTTGTTTGTTGGTTTGTTTTTGGTGTGTTTGCAAGGGAGCAGTGTGTTTAAAGATACACAGAAAGTTAAAGGGATATGAATAGTTAAAATTAGTTTATTCTGGAGAGTGGAATTGGTGTTGAGAGATAAGGGCTTGGTACACGTCCATATTTTTTTAATTTTGCCAAAAAAATTATGTTAAAAACATGTATTGGGGTGAGGAGGACCTTAAGCCAGAGAATTACTGGTTGGGGAATTCTAGCCCCAGAACAGCAGAAATGGATCCCAAAGGTAGTTATATCTACTTATGTAGAGAGCCTTGAAATCCCTGGTTTGAATGTACTTTGTAGAGTAACTAAATCCAGTTGCTGAGTTGTGGGAAAGTCTTCACTTAAAGATGGAGAATAGACGTGGCTTCTTAGTTGGCAAGGGATCAGTGCTGCCTTCTAGGGACATTTCCAAAAGCCCTAGGTCTGTGTTCACTGGCAAATGCATGGAGCATAAAGAAAATTGGTGTGCTTAACAAAGAAAGTCTAGGTAGCACTCAGCCCAAAAGTGGTATGTATTTTGAAAGGCCACGTCTAGCCCATAAAGGCATGTTTATTGCATTTTAAAAAATAAGCCCTTCCAGAGAGATAAAACCTACAAACACATACTCTGCAGGCTTGATAGTGATCATCTTCTCTTATTGTTCAGAAAATGTTTCTAAATTGTTTCACGCACTTCATCAGATCTTAGTTAATATTTAGAGAATTTAAATGAAGAGTTTCATAGAGATTATTTTGTGTAAGAGATATCACTGAATATATTTATGTCATACAGAAAATTGTGTCCTCAGGATCTAGCAATAGAAAGACATGTAGAAAAGAGGACATGTTTAGATCAATGTAAATTGTTATGAGAACTGTTAAGTCTTGTAATGTTTTACAACACCTTGTTTTGGTAATTTTCAAAGTAATCTGAAAACAAAAATCTACATGAATACGGTATAATTCCATTGATGCATATTTTTGTTTTCTTTTCTAATGTCAGTATCTTGTTTGTCTTTACAGAGTTACTGGAGGTGAACTGTTTGAAGACATCGTGGCAAGAGAGTATTACAGTGAAGCCGATGCCAGGTAAGTGACTTGCCCCAGGGGCAAGATACAAGACTTAACATTCAAATGACATTTGTTCAGTATATCTCTTTAAAAATGCATCATAACCCTTAGTATTTATGAGACTCTTATAATACCATCTTGGACAACTTCTCATGATGAGTCCCTCTTAATTGCTGTTTCTCTCTCTTAAGGATTTCCAGGATAATTGTTTGGGGAAAACAAAACTAGAATCTGGTCTAAAATAGCCTCTACAGTTAGTCTTTTTAAAAATAAATAATAAAATCTGTACTCTACCTGGAAAGATTTCTGCTAAAGAAATTTACTTTTTTAGTGAAGTTAAGAGACCAAAAATTCAGATTTTCTGGTCTCTAGGTCCTGAGCTGCCCATTATGGCAGCCATTAGTAACACATGGCTGTTTCAATTTCAGTTAATTACAATTAAATAAAAAATTTAGCTTCTCAGTTGTACTAGCTATGTTTTGAATGCTGAGTGGCCATAAATGACTAGTGGCTACCAATTGGACATAGCAGATATAGAACATTTCCATTATCACAGAAAGCTCCACTGAATAGCCCATGTTTAATCAGAGACCATAAAAAGAAACAGACTACAAAAATCCAGTGGTCTCCTTAAAGCATTATTAGCTGTTTAACTCTTTGGAAATTCCAGGATGGCTTTTGGAAACCTCATATGAAAAATATTTATTCAGATATTTCAGAGGATTCAAAGGATTTTCTAGCCTTGTTAACTGGCATCATCTTTACAGAGGTTAACAATGGCTATACATTTTCTCTCATTTGAAACTTCCTAGGCTACACAAAGCCAACATTTTTGGAGTGAAGTGACATTGATTTACTTGCCTAGACATTAGTTAGACTTTTTCATGTTAGTTTTCCTTGGCATTTCTTTATACATATTCAGTAGTTGGTACTTAATTTGAAAGATCTGGCCTTGAGCTATTGACTCATTATTAACAATGTAAATGAGATGTTGTGAAAATTAGTTACTTACTGTCTGCCCCCATTCTCTAATTCTTTCAGAGCTTCCTAAAGCTTGCTAATCCCACTGTAGCCTGCACTCAGCAGATAGTCAGCTGATAGCAGGTTCCCTCCCCATCCCTTCAAAATAGCATATGCACACACAGGCTCACTTGCAAATCTCTAATTAATCTTCTTGGTTTTATGCCAGTTTATGACATTCTGTGAATCTTATCTGTACATGAGTACAGTCTAATTTTTAATGGAATTTTTATTGTCAAAGTCAAATAGAAACTTCTGTTTCATTTATACTATCATGAGTGAATCATCACTTGCTCAGTTCACCCCAGTTCCCATGTTAGGGCCCTGAAAAGGAGCTTCAGAGTAGCCTTGTGAGTAGCTATTTGCCCACTTGCCCTGAGAGAGTAATAATTTTAATCAAGGTAGTTAATAAGTTAGGGTGTTACATTTAATTTTGTTTTTTGAAGTTATGTTAAACAGGTCATTGTGTTTGAAAAGTATTGTTTGAAATTAAAATAGAAACTTTTTTCACTGTTGAAGAGCCCTATAGATAATAGGGGAGACCCTATAGGTTGGATCATTTTATATGCATGTTTATATTAGGTTTTCAAATTCACTAGAAGTGAGTATTTTTTAGGATAGGTCTCAGACAAAATGAAGCAGAAGGAACATTCTCTTCCCAAGAACAAACATAAAGAAGAAGTCTTTCCCTACTAGTCCTCAGGAGCTGAAGAATTGAATCCCTTCTCACCAGTAAAAAATGACGAAGTTTATTTAATATGAATTATTATGTACTTTATTTTGCATTATTCATTAAGCCTAATGACTTATATCTGTGGTTTGAGAAGAGAAAGTGAAATATTTCTAAAATGTAGTACAAAGTGAAGGAGAAAAAAGTCACAGTATTTAAAAAATAATTACCAACACTCAAATAAGCTCTGTTATCAAAAACCAACCAAGGTTTAGCTAGCTCTTTTGGTGGGACTCTATAAAGAGTTAGGGCTGGATAATCATAACCTTGATCGGTTTTTTACATTCACATTGTAAAAAATCAGATGGTGATTACTTTTTATAATTCAAGAATTTACTTTCAAGTAATATTATTTTGTACATTAAATAGTTGAAAATGTCCTTATTAAAATGTTTGCTAATGAATGTAGCTCAGTACATAACATGCATTTGAGTTGCACAAATGTAAATTTATACCAAATGTGTCAGTGTGATCTATATTATTTTATGTCAGCTGACAGCTCATGGGACCTTACAGGTGTCAATCAATGATTTATCCCCTCTAATTTAATTAGCTGTCTGACATCAGTGAGCCTTTAATAAGAATAGTATAAATTGTGCTTTTTGACATAGTAGTAAGGAAAGTTTTCCTTCACTGAGTATATGGAAATATATCTGACAATTACCAGTGTTCCAGGGGATTTAAAAAAATTTTTTTTCCATAAGTGCCTACTCCTTCTCCAGAGTATGCCTGTCCTGAAGAGGGGTTTATTTTATGTCATGGGTTTACTTGAAATTCCCCTCTGTTATTGGAGACTTGCATTAGTTTTCCTCTTACTGTATTCTTCAAGAAGCACCATTTCTAAGTCAAAATGATAAATGTGTCCCTCCATTTTTTTTAACCCTTGTTTCACCTGCCACTTCATCTGTGTGTACCCTCTTGTTTCAACACCTATGTTTAATTGTGACCTCAGATTTTAAACAGTTTAGATGTGTATGAGAAATACCCATTAATTTTATATTGCTGAAGAATTTTCCCAGAACATTATGGGAATATTTATAAATTTTTCTCCTTGAGTATAAGAATTTTTACTTCTATATACAAGTGATTTAATCTGTACATTTTCAATGGGAAAAAAAACACAGCTCAAATTGTTTTGTCTGAACACGTCACAAACTCTATGTTGGATGTCATTTTTGTTAGAACCAGAATTAGCTTTATTCAGCATTATTAAATTACAGTGTAAAGCTAAAAAAGATGTGAGAAAATATAATTTTTGTTTGTTTGTTTGTTTCGTTTTAACTTTCATTTTATTTTGTATTCAATGTGATTATGTACCTTTAAAATGTTCTCCCTTCCATTCTGCCCTTGTATCTTTACAGTCATTGTATACAGCAGATTCTAGAAAGTGTAAATCATTGTCACCTAAATGGCATAGTTCACAGGGACCTGAAGGTCAGTATATGGAGTCCATAAATCTGAATCAAAGGAGGTTTTTTTGTTTTGTTTTGTTTTGTTTTATCTGGGGAAAGGGCAGAGGGTGGGTATTTAAAATGGTTCCCTTGCCTTTCCCACTTTTTCCCTAAAATGACTACATGATGAAATGATAATGCATGATGCCTCTTTCAGTTTGCTCATCTACAGGCTAAATATACATCATAGCAAAAAGGGAAGGACAATATTAAGAAAACAACCTGTCAACTTTCCAAGCAGTAAACTACCAGAGGCGATTTGGGGGCAAGCTTTCCTGAAATGTCCAGCATTTGCCTGGAGATAAACGTGGCCTGTGATGTATGTCCGCCTGTAGATTTAAACACCACTTCTGTTCTGAGACCATGGGTTGCTGTAGCAAAACAACTGGTTACACATTGCTCCATTTGAGTCTGATGAACCCTCAGGCAAGAGATAATAATTGCCAGCTAAATTAAAGCACAAGAAGTTAATGATTTATCAAAAATTCATTACTTATCCTAATTTAACCTTAATAGTGCCTTGACCGCTAACGTGACAGATTTGGAATGATACTAGAAAAATGGGAGGGAATGGGGAAACAGTTTTTTATGTGGGGTGGAGGTGGACCACAACAGCTATAAAAATTTTATTTGCATTCCAGTTCTTTTCCTATAAGAATTCATAACTAGGAAATGAGCTACTGAATTAAATATTTTTAAGATGGCTTTTTTCTAGATCAAGTGGATCCACATTTTCGTGCACATCTGGCAAGATCCTGATTGCTCTGAGGTAGTAGTCACTCTACTTGAGCAATATGTTTACAATACTGAAGGTGGTAAAACACAACCCCAGTTGTCTGCTGGTTTTGCACTTTAACCCGGTCTCTCTGAGGGTGTACAGACAGTGAGTGTAAGCTTGGAACTAACACACGCCCCCTGGTGTTTGCATGCAGTCATTGCATTCAGCAGATCCTGGAGGCTGTGCTACACTGCCATCAGATGGGCGTAGTCCATCGGGACCTGAAGGTGAGTAATGCTGTTGGAGAAGATAAACCACCACACAATTCCTAATGACTGTTCAGCTGCAATTATGCCTGTAAAGGCAAAAATATGAGCAAGAAAGTTGTGTGGACTCATTCCAACACATTACGAAAACACTTTCCCTCACCACAGCCTTATTTCATCTCCCTCATCCACACTTGAGATTTACATAAATTCCATTTCATCCAGAGGAATAATGTCCTACCATTATCAATAAATAGGGTGCTGTATTTCCTTCCTCCTAAGAATATAGCATTTAATGTGACTTTGCGTAAGACTGATGATCTCCTCTTCATTCTAAACCTGTTCTGTGGACATTGATCAAACATACTATTTCAGAGTCATACTGTGTATACCTAATATCATGTAAATAGTTATGGAAATTATAAAGAGAATAGAGACAAAGTTATTAATAGGTTTTTGGCATTAAAGAACCTCCATTTGGGGCTCTGAAGTCTCTTTTCCTTAATAGTAGTCCCAGGAATTCTGAGGGCATTGAGACTTCCTGGTTCTTTGTTTATTTACATTCCTAGGTAGCAAGATACCAGTGCCTTTTAAAACAGAAAGGAAGAAAGTAAAACAAATTTTGTTATAAAATAATATTTATATAACATATATATGGACTAATATTTTTAAGACTCCACTCAGTTTCTGATACCTTTGAGGATGAGAAATGTTTAGATCATTTAGAAATTAAATAGTTCAGAAGGAGACTACTCTTTCATTCATTTTTCTGTCCCCTTCTCTCAGAGTCTAGTTTCACTCATGGAATTTCAGAGATATAGTGAAGGCCTAAAAATTTAAATGAAACCACTGGGTGGGCAAAGTAGCAAATGTGAGTACTATATAGTTGTCATTCTTTGTTTCAAGCTTCATCCATATTCAGGCATTAATATACAAAGGTGCCACAAAGGTTGCAATGTCTTCAGCTGTATGTGTTCAGTGGGAAGACCTGGGCTGGTTTCTCATGTGCAGACTTCTCTAATAATGATAAATCTGTAGTTTCCATTCATTTAGTATGCTCTAAAAGAATATATCTCTGAGGATCCGTAATAAGTTATTTGAAGATGTGGTTTGTAAGCAAAGCATTGCCTTAGGTTTCTGGAATTTTCCTTTGATTTCAGTTTGAGTCTTAGAGCTTTAAATGTCAAAAGCAAAGATATGGTTAATGGCTTTTTTTTTTTTTTTTGGAGAGCCAAGATAAGACTGTGTACATCTGCTAACACTTTACCAAATGTACTCATCATGATTAAGGGAAAACAATATGTTCCTTTAAAAATTCATGTCTTTGGCAATCACCTCAAGAATTCTTTACAGCCATGTAGAGAGAGAGAGCCCCTTTTTGTTACTTCTCAGAACTCACAGTACTACTTCCCTTTGTAAGTGAATATATATGGGCATGCATATTTATTACATACTCTATTTAATAAAATTGTCATTTGAAACATTTTACTCTATGTTAAATAATTAGAAGTATACTCTAAAAACCAAGGATAAAAAATGTGAATTCTCTTACATGACCTTTAAAATATATCTTGTGGGGTTATGATATTAGACTTCTGTAAGTGTTCAAACTCAGCTGAGCTCTTCAAAGACTGGAACTTTAATCAGAGATAGCAGTGGGCTAGGATGTGGACTGAGAAGAAGGTCTATTTTCTGATATATGAGCTAAATCGACTAATTAAAAACTGAGGCAGGTGACTTTTAGGGAGGCTAACTACCAAAAGAAATAACCTGCTGAATCACCCATCAGATTTCTTGCAAGGGATAAAAGTGTTTTTGTTCTCCATTTTTATCCTGATTTTAGGAGAGAACAGGGGTGAACTTTTTATAGAGCTAGTTATAATTTTCGTAATTCTTTTGGTTTCTGTCAAATTGCTGACAAGTACAGACTTCAGTTGAGTCTAGTTTTTGGTACATGTTTCAGTAGGCCATTTCATAACACACTAAGAGTATATTAGAGGTATTTTACACACACCCTGAATGTGCTAAATCCTTGCCTTTGTTTTATGTGTTTTATACCCACACATATACTTTATCTGATAAGTATATAGCTTGTGAAAGCATATTTGCCAGTATATTAAAATGAAAATATTGGTAAAATTTCTTATTACCAAGCTTTAAACAAAAATTTGCCCTTATTAATCTTAGGTCATATATTTTATTTCCCTACCCTGACTTATATGTTAGTTCATATAGAATACATATGTTTGGTGCACACTTTAATTTGTCCATATCACTGAGAGAATACCACAGGAAATGTTATGTTCTTCATTATTAAAGCTTTATTACTGTACTGTACCTACCTAGAATACTGTTTTACTCCATGGTATCTAATATAGGACTTAATACCTAGTAAATACTTGTGGCATATGCTTTCAATTTTGGAATGAATGAAATTCAATCAAAAGCACATTTATAATATAAAAGGCATCACTGAATAAAATAGATTTTTGTGTATGTTAATTAATATTGAATAAAGAGGGCAAGTATCACTCTTTAATACAGTGATATTGTTAAGATCATTATTTGAATAACTGCCACTCTTGGGAGCTTATTAGACGGTGGAACCCACCAGATGGAAAATTCTAAGAACTTAGAGACAAGGCTGAGGCACAGCAGAAAATTGGACGATGTCCCAGAAACAAGCAATAGGAGAAGGCTCCATGTGGTGGGATATTAGCATAAAGGAAGCCCATCAATCACAACCAGGCAGTATCCAGTGGATATGTAGACCTTTCATCTAAGGTGAATCCACTGTCAGATCCAAGCAGTATTAAGGAGTGTAGTGGTGACATAATTATAGTACTGTAGTTCAGGAATATAACTCTCGTCTTTGGGAGGATTTGGATCAAGGCGGGACGTTAGTAATAAAAATGATAATAGCTACCATTTATCCAGCAGTTACCATGTACCCTGTACTGTGTTATCATACGAATCTTAACAACAGCTTTATGAGGAAGGCACTTTGATCTTCCCCATGTTGCATAAGGAGAGATTTAACAACCATGAGTGAGAGAACTTATTCATGGTTGCTCAGCTAGCAAATTGTGAATTGTGCCCAAGCATTTTGGTTCCAGGGTCTGCATACTTAATTGCTACCACGTCTCAGTTCATTAGTTGGATAAATCAAAAACTTTAGAAAGGCCAAATAATAAGTCAAACAATGATGGAAAGTAATTTTGCCAGCAACATGAAGAATTGGGAAATGGGTCTAAGTTTAGTAAATCAAATGATTAAAGTGATCCTGCTTATGGATCTTCCAAAGCTGTATAAGATCTGTATTATTAGAAATAAGGAATATGTTTAAGTTATGTTTAAGATACAGTGTGGAGTTGGGGGGGTGCACAACATAATTTGTTAATAGACGTCCAAAGAAAAAAATTCTTATTTAGCAAATTAGTAAGGTGGCGTTGGTCACAGCCTTTGGAAAATGAGACACAGAGAAGAATGAAATGCATTTGGCACATTTGATTTAGGCCACATCAAGACAATCAGTCTGGAGTGCCTAAAAATAGATTGTTTATAAAGAGTAGATTACTGTAACTTAGTCTTGAGTGTTTGTGAGCTGATAATTGAAAATTTAGGTATAAAAAGAGAGGATTAAATGTTCATCAAACATTTCTTAAGCACCTATTGAGGTTACTATCAGAGTTGGTGGGCACAAATTATAGAGCAAAATCAAAACAAACCTTGTATGGCTAGAACATACAGGCCACGAATTAAAGATCATTTTAAAATATGTATCAGTGCTATTCCTCCCAGAAAAAAGGAGATAGGTCAAACAAAAACTGGTAGTAACAAGTGACAACTCTTGAGGTCACAAGAAATGGAGAGATGTGTTCTGTCATTTAACAGTCTGAAGAATATAGTTTCTGCGAATCAGGGAACAGAAGTAAGTCAAAGGAGACCGTTTTATAGCTCTGCTTTATCATATAAGTATATTTCACACAGAATAGTAAGATTTCTTCGGTTCAAGGTACATCAGAGATGGTTACCAAACTTCATGAACAGCATCTGGATAGAAGGCTTCATACATAAAACAATCTTTTAGCAACACATCAACATCTGTGAATTGTCTCAGCAGAAAATGGTGCTTTTTTTCTTAGCCTACCTCCTGAAAAAACAATATTATTTAATGGAAAAATCATCAGATCAGGGGATGGATATGAGAGAGAGGAAGAAGAAAGGAAAGAGAGGGAAAGGGCAGAGAGAGAGAGAGAATAGATTTTAATGAGGATAATAATTTTGGAGATGGGGGAGGGGATTTTAAATCTAAATTAAATATAGAAATAAAATTAAAGACCAGAAAGGAGAGAAATTAATTTTCTGGGGGAATATGACATGTATTCAGTAAATCCTCTTTAGTAGTAGATACATTTTGAATAATTATAAAATTGCAATTGTTCCTCTTTCTCAGAAGTATACTCAGATAAAAGTTTAAAGAACTTATCATTTGTGTATAAAGTATGTCTAGGTGTTTTAGATACAAACTGTGTAAGTGATAAATTCCATAATTCATCGGTCATTCTTGTGTTTCTTTGTTGAACCTGACAGATGTGTGTCAGGCCATGGAGAAACAGTAGGTAACTGGCACAGTCCCACTGGTCTGCTTCTTTCAGAGAAGTATTTGCTAATAGTGTAGAATTATGTGCTGATAGTATCTGCTAATAATGTAGAAGTAAATAAGAAAACAGGAAAGGAAAACAGATGATTCTTAGGAACTTGCTCATGTATGCTTGATGATGAAAATAGTACTTTGTAACCACAGACTTTCAACACATGGCATCAGCTGAGAACTCCGTGTGCTTAGGTACATAAATTCAAGTATCCATTCCATATAAAAATAAAAGCAAAAGTCACTTGTACCATGTGCACAAAAGAACTGCCATGTGCATGAGTGAGCTTGATATTCAAGCTTTCCAATTCATGCACTTTCACTTAGTTTATCTCCAGGAGTGTTGTTCACACCTTCTGTGGCAAAGGAAAAGTGACTGAAAACACACCAAAGCACAGAATGCTTAACTTTGTGTTGAAATAATTGATACTGTCCAGTAGAGGAAAGAAATCTAAAAAGATCATTTCAATTCTTAAAAACAAGTATCTACAGAAATGAAAAGATTAAATAATATAGAATGATAAAACTAATAACTGTTTATGATATTCATTAAAAAGCTATAAAAAATAAAACATGCATGATTTCACTACACATAAAAATTCCTAATATCTGAGTTTTGTTGGCTAGATAATCACATATGTGCACAGATCCTACCTCATTTAGAGACTGAAGGGTTTGAATTATTTTATCTCTTAAGTCATTTCCAGTCCTAAAAGTGATACCAGCAACCTGCCTAGGTAGTTTGAGATACTTGGACAGATTCAAGAAAATCTCAAATCACAATGAAAGAAGTTGCTGTTGCATCCATATGGAAGCACAGAACAAAACTTGCCAACAGTTGCTGCTCATTACAGCTGATATGCTATAAATGGTTGTTGACACTAAGACCAGATGTCATGGAAAATCCTGCATCATTAGGAAGCAATTGGGTGGGGAAGGAACCTGTGTGTGAGAACATCAATAGAATCTATTTAAAACCCAACCTAAAAAGTGATTGCATTATAGGAATTTAGAGATAATCTCAATATATAAAGATTAGCATAATAGATTGCATTAAATTTAGGAATATAGACATCCCCCAAGTTATGAACATTCGCTGCAAATACTCAGGGTCCTTCACATTGACATGGCCAGCAGCACTGGAGTGTAACAGCTAATCACCAATGTGTATATTGCTCCATACAGAGGACACAGCTCTGATGATAAAATCCAGTGAGATTTTATAATTTTGTATATACTGTTATGAGAAATATCCTTATAATGCTCATTTGAGAGATGAAAGAACTAATTAGCTCCAATAGTCTATGAGTTACCCATGTCCACACAGTTAATAACAGTTAGTCCTAGGACATAGACCTAGCTCTGCATCTTTTTTCTAGATCATCATGTTCCCCATTTCTCTCATGTTCAGCTATACATTGGAAGACCTGTGTTTCTGATTTCACCTTTCTCATTTGCTTTAGAAAATCAAATTGCTGAATAGTAGCAGATAATGGTGGTAGTCCTTTTAAGGAAGCAGCCACTAATTAGCTGAAAGAGTCTACCATTTCAGCTTTTGTGAATTACAGTCATAAATTATCTTCTTTTCTGTAGGTGTTCAGAATTTGAACTAACCTACTTGCCAGTGAACTTTTGTAGTACAACACGTATTTAAGTTGTATGCCATATAAATGTCAGAATGTGATAACAGGATTATTCAGATTTTGAATATATTCCAAAGAATTGTATATAAATCACATTTGTATGCTATTTCTAATGTTTCATTGAAGCTGGCCATTAGAAGCAATCTTGTGATGAAATATTTTATAAACTAATCCTTTAGTAAAGTCAGTAAGCACCTTTATTTTTCAGTTTGCATTCCATAATTCTGTGTTTTAGGTTTGCTTAAAAGATATGTATAAACATGAAGCCATTTTAGTTCTATTAATTTTTAAATCTCCACAGTAACCTTGAAAGAGCCCTGCCTTTTCCTGTACATAACTGCAGCTGAACAGTCTTAATGGGTATAAGGTAAAACACCGGTCCAGATGGATTAATTATTTCCCTGGATGACTCACAAGGCCCTATAGCGAGGTCTTCTAGGTCATCTCTAGGCATGAATATTTGCCCCAGTCATTCAGAGGCCGTGTATGATAAAACTCTAAGATGTTCCATTTCTTCTGAATTGGCAGATACTTGGTGTTTAAGGGCGTAATAATGCACATAGCACTGCCCAGAACTTTTTGATCTACTGGTAAGAATAAAAGCACATTAAATATTTTAAAAGTTTATTTACTGATGGCACTGACATTTGCTCAGCAAACTTCAGTACTACTTCATTAAAAGATCTGAAATGACTGTGATTTCTAAAGTAATTGAAACTCTTTCCTTGAATGAGTCTATGGTTGACAAATTAGGACAGATGTATCTTAGCAGAGATCTCTGACATCTCACTGCTTTTGAATGTAAATGTTACAAAGAATTAAACTATTGCTTATAGTTCGATATGGTTTTTCAAAGTCATTTATTTAATAAATTAATAGCTGGAAATCACTTTGTGATTAAATTAGAAAATGCATGAATGTAGTAGGCCATAAATTTTAGTTGTGAAAATAAAATGTCAAATATTAATAATGTGATATGGTTAGGTGCTGTACTACATTAATAGATAACCAGAGTCCCCATTTTGGATGTTAGGTTTTTCACGAAAGGTTATTTCAGCATGGACATCTTTCATATTCTTGAGACATCTTCATCCCAGTGTCCAAATTAAATTATCATGTATTTAGTGTTGAGGTGATTTAAAAAGCCCTATCAGCCCTAAGAAATTACAAAGTTTTCCTTACAGTTACCTATTGTCATAATAGTGATGAATCTGATGGCAGTGAACAGCAATAGCCTGAAGAAGTCTGGTACTTGATTAAAACTTACTTGCCTACACTCTTATTTCTTATAGACTAAACCTAATTTTTTCAAGTTCTGGTTATGAGTCTTTGCTAATTTGCATGGCTGGCTTAATTAATAAATTAAATATTGGTTTAGGCTGTGTTTATACAAGGTCAAAACAGCCAACAGAATTGCCTAATTCAGTAAGAAAAAAGTAGCCATTTCATGAAAAAAAATATTGAATTAGTTTGCCAACACATAAACAGAATCAATTTGAATGACCTGAATATTTGGATTTCCAGACAATTGTTTTGGCACTTGTAAACTCCATTGTTTCCCAGCTTCTTTCAGTCCGAGGCACACCTCTAAATTTGGTAGGTTTTAGCCCAAGGTAAGATGTTGAACTAATCTTCCAAATGTGGATGTACCAGTCCAGCTGTATGTTCATCCAGATACTTAGCGATGGTAGACTTCAGTGTATGTATTAATCAGCCTCCTTTCCTTGACTGTCTTCTCTCTTCAATTCCCATAGTCCACAAAGGTGGTTGGGGGAAATTCAAGACTTTAACCTCATGCCTATTTTCAAAGTTCCTGTGTGTCTCGATGCCCTGGTTGGGAAACAGTGGTATAAACACAGCCTTATTCCAACACCGAGTTATCAGTCCTTGAGTAATGATTAATAGCCAAGAAAATGAAAATGTATCTTTGTTATAGTATTTCATGGTACGAGAACAAATATATAAGGAATGCTTTGAATCACACTTTGTAGACATCTAAATTATGTTTTAAAAAACTGGCTTATAAGGGAAAAAAATGCTAACTCTAACATTTGGCAAATAGTATACTCTTTCTGCCTTTAAGAATAAACAGATTCTTAAAGACAGCAATTTAATATGTAATTCAGAATAAGACTCCAAAATTTGTACAGAAATTGTTTGGAAACATTGAGGAATCAAATGACTACATTTGGGTCCAAACTCTTGAAGTCAACTAGGATTTAATTTGCACAGTTTCATTTGCCAAATGTCTGTAGATTGGTCCAACTCTTGTTATCATTTTGCCAAGTTTCCTTCTGCTGAAAATGTCTGTACTCTATTAGGCTTCTAAGTCAATGTCCATGGCCAAGTCCGGACCTCAGCAGCCCTTGGAAGCATGTGAGCAGGTCAAGACAGGTGCTTCCATTCATTTGATCTCTCCCCAACTATATTCTCTTTTCTGCCTAGTATCTCTCTAGTACATTTATGCATCTGTCTGAAACCTGCACACATGATAATTTTTAAGCATTTTTCTAACCATATTTTCCCTGGGATTTAGGAATGACAGTCTCCGGGAGAGAGGACAGTGCATGACTTTTTACCCCCCCTAATCTTACAAAATGTTGTTAGTTTTGAGTAGTCACTTAAAATAGGTTCTCACTTCAGTCTCTTTTTTTTTCTTTCTAAATAAAGCCTGAGAATTTGCTTTTAGCTAGCAAATCCAAAGGAGCAGCTGTGAAACTGGCAGACTTTGGCTTAGCCATAGAAGTTCAAGGAGACCAGCAGGCGTGGTTTGGTGAGTAGGGCTTCTTTCTACTTTATGTTGCTCATTCTCTTCTGGCTCATCATAACCCACTTCCCAGCCAAAGTAAAACAGAAATATTCCTTCTAACAACAGCCTGACTTAAATGAAGACATTAGACCTTTATAAGCATTTCATTTTATTGACATCAGAAGGTATATAATCTAGAAATAATTTAAGAGAAAATATTAATAGGAGAGCAGTAATGTGTAGACTTCTTAAAACATGAGTGAGAAAATGGATCCTTGTACTAAGAATTAATAAGGAAGGTTTGCATTATTTTAACCCACTGAGCCACCCAGGCGCCCCGGGAGGTTTGCATTGTTAAAAGAGGACTTTTTGAGAGAAAATTGTTCACAGAGAACCTTACTTGATGCCAAAAACTGCTGTGTAAATAGTAGGGACTCGGGAAATACAGAATATTTCCACATACTTCGTAGTTAGCAAATTAAAGTTTAAAAATATTATAGCATATGTGTGTGTGTGTGTGTGTTCATCTTAATTATCTTCTATTTCTTCACACTGCTAGTTTCTGCTGTAAAATTTTGATAATTTTGAAATTTCTTTTTGGTGAAATGTCTGTTTCTTTACAATTAAGAAAGAAATTAACTCTAAATTAGAGCATTTCTAACCAGGCTTGTGTTTTGTTTCAGTATTTATCCTGTTGGATTATTTTATTCACTGTTTCTTTTTTTATGACTCTGTTTTTGCCATTTCCCAGTACTGACCCATTTTTTTTTTCATGTAATCTCCCAAAATATAACCTCTCCCCAAGCCTCTTTTTTTCTGACTTTCAGTGTATTGAGGTTAGATCATTTTTAAAATGCCCTTCACTTCTAATTGCTTTTCCTCTGAACAACAACAGCAAACAGCACTCAAGAAGTGCTTACTTTTTTCATTTTATATGCAAAGACTTTTTGTGTTTTCCTAAATCTAAGGTGTGAACAGGGCCCCCAGGGTTCATCATTATCTCTAATCTGTCCCAGCTAATAAGTGGGAGTGGGTGGCAAGGCAGCCTTTCCTCTACAGGCAGCTTAATTTAGGACCTCATTTTTTGCTTCCCATCCTATTTCTGTAGTACCTGTTACCCTTGTCCACGATTCCTCCTAAGCTTAATACCGCTGTTTACATTAAGTCTCTCCTCACCTACCAAATGAATTTACAGTCTTCAAACTTGGCATTTGGCTTGTCATATTTTGACATATGAATAAGCTTATTCCTCTTAAATGCAAACTGCAAGAAGGTAGGACCTAGAATAAGTACTGTAAATTGATTCAGAGGCATCTTTGTATACTGTATAAGGACACAGTTGACACAGATAAAGAATATATGGTAACTTGGAATTGAGTTCTAATAGAAAGTAGGAGGGCTGTCACAGAGGTGGGCAGAAAAATTAATGGGGATGCTTAAATTAAGCATGCCCCTCAAGATACTGAAACTTCTGTATCAGTAACTGTTTCCCATGGAGTGTAAGAGCATTTAATAGGGCATGCAGGAAGGTGCCCTGGAGCATAAGAGAAAGGTGAAATTCTGTGTCTGGGGAACATTTTGGTGATTGGGGTAGTGCTTCTGCTTCCCTAGTGGGTGAATGAGAATTTGTTGACTAATGTGCAAGGAGATGAAGGCCAGACTGAGGGATCAGCACATGCAAAAATCTCCAAGGCATGAAACTACTGTTTCTATTTATGGAATAGCAAGAAGTTTGATATAGCTAAAGCATAAAGTATACTGGGATGAGTGGTAGTTAATTAGGTGGGAAAGGATTTTATGTGCTTTTGAAGGATTTGGCTTTTATCCTGGAAGTTTCAAGAACCCAGTGAAAAATTTTCAGTAGGGAAGGACATAATGGCGTTTATGTTATATAATGATGTTGTAAGTAACAATGCAGAGGGTGGCTTAAGGATACTTACTCTGAAGGCAGGGGACCAGGTAGGCTAATGCAGGAGTTCAAATTATGTATGATGACAGCTTGAACTAAGGGGTATGCAAGAGCAAGCAAATTCTAGATAATATACAGAACAGTCGGTGACTCTAAACTCTAAGGAAGTCTGTTTAGAGGAAATCAATGCTCCAGAGTTTGGACTCTAATCCCATCTAGTCCCATTTGCTTCACAAGACTCAGGGTATGAAGCAGGACACCAAAACAGAGACATAGGCTAGGGATGTGATTGTCAGAACTGGGTAGAAGGTGATGATAGGATATTAGGAACAAGACAAGACTCATTATCAGAGCCAAGCTACAAATTAACATCAGTAACTTGGCTTAGTGCATAAAAGAGTGATGTAATTGACCACCTTAAATCTCCCTTGTTTTTGAGCTCTGTGTTTTATCTCCTGTGCTAGATCACAAGCTGCTTGATGGTAGGATTTTGTACAGTAGAAAAAAATTCTGGTTTTTGAATTAGAATACCCAAGCTTATGTCCTGGGTCTGATTCTTAATAATAATCATAATAATGATATTGGGCAAGTCACTTTAACTCTGTGAGGTCCATGTCTTCTTTGTAAGCAGTGATAATAAACATTTCTTTGCAAGGCTGTTACAAGTCCATAGGAATATGCCTGGGCTTTGAAAGGTGTTGAATAAGTTTTCAAAACCACCTAGGCATGAAACACAATGCCACAGTTCTCTGCCTCCTCAGTGAAAGTTGTTGAGCAAATCGATGAGTGAAAAACCAATTATCAAGTTAGTGAAAGCAATAGCATCCAAATGAAAGTACACAAATTTCAAATTGTGATCATTTATGTTTAAAAGTGATCTGATTCCAGAGAAAGAAAGACAGATTGGGAATAAAATCCCCATTTCTTCTTCAGTATGATACTATGACTGTTGTTTTTGCTAAGATACCTATTAGAATAACAACTTTTAAGAGGTGATTTTTAAAAAGTGCTCAACATCACTCAGCATCAGGGAAATACAAATCAAAACAACAATGAGATACTACCTCACACCAATCAGAATGGCTAATATTAACAAGTCAGGAAACCACAGATGTTCGAGAGGATGCAGAGAAAGGGGAACCCTCCTACACTGTTGGTGGGAATGCAAGCTGGTCCAACAACTCTGGAAAACAGCATGGAGGTTCCTCAAAAAGTTGAGAATAGAGCTGCCCTACAACCCATCAGTTGCACTACTGGGTATTTACCCTAAAGATACAAATGTAGTGGTCCGAAGGGACATGTGCACCCGAGTGTTTATAGCAGCAATGTCCACAATAGCCAAACTATGGAAAGAACCTAGATGTCCATCAACAGAAGAATGGATAAAGAAGATGTGGTATATATATATACAATGGAATACTATGCAACCATCAAAAGAAATGAAATCTTGCCATTTGCCATGACATGGATAGAACTAGAGGGTATTATGCTGAGCGAAGTAAGTCAATCAGAGAAAGACTATTATCATATGATCTCTGTCATATGAGGAATTTGAGAAACAAGGTGGGCAGTTTGGGGGTAGGGAAGGAAAAAATGGAACAAGATGGGATCAGGAGGGAGACAAACCATAAGAGACCTTTAATCTCATAAAACAAACTGAGGGTTTCTGGGGAGGGGGAGTATGGAGAGGGTGGTTGGGTTATGGACATTGGGGAGGGTATGTGCTGTGGTGAGTGCTGTGAAATGTGTAAGCCTGACAATTCACAGACCTGTACCCCTAGGGCAAATAATATATTATATGTTAATAAAAACTAATTTAAAAAAAAAAGGTGGGGCACCTGGGTGGCTCAGTGGGTTAAAGCCTCTGCCTTCAGCTCAGGTCGTGATCCCAGGGTCCTGGGATCAGGCCCCACATCCGGCTCTCTGCTCAGCAGGGAGCCTGCTTCCTCCTCTCTCTCTGCCTGCCTCTCTGCCTACTTGTGATCTCTGTCTGTTAAATAAATAAATAAAATCTTTAAAAATAAAAAAATTTTTTAAAAATTTTAAAAAGAGGTGCATTTTAAGTCCCAAGAAAATTCCGCATTTCAAAAAATGTAGAAAAAACATTGTTTGTAAGCTTAAGAGAATGCACAATTTTTTTTTATTTTTTTTCTTTAGCTTATTTTCATGTTATTCTATGCAGGTGAATCCTCATGGTAACCAACTTGAGGAAAAGGAAGCATGTGATATACTATATATATTTTGGTTGTAGTACCAGACATATCATAGATTTTTAAAGTAAAAGCATGTTTTAGTATGAATGACTTGATATGATATTTATTCAATATTATCTACCATCATAGTCTCATGTATTTGATTATTTTTTATCTAAATTAAAGTTAGTTAACATATAATGTATTACTTGTTTCAAAGGTAGAATGTAGTGATTCATCAGTTGCATGTAAAACCCAGTGCTCATTACATCACGTTCCCTCTTTAATGCCCATCATCTGTGACTGATTAATTTTGTCTTTTAAAATGTATTATCAGTGATGGGGAGGCAAACCTTTTTATTTTTATAAAGTAATTTAATGTTAAGAGAAGAGCAGAACTCTTTCATTATATGTAATGCCAGAATTTCAGGCTTTTGCTCAATTTTATTTTATTTTATTTTAATTTATTTATTTTAAAGATTTTATTTATTCAACAGAGAGAGAGATCACAAGTAGGCAGAGAGGCAGACGGGGTGGGGGGGGAGCAGGCTCCCCGCTAAGCAGAAAGCCTGATGCGGGGCTCAATCCCAGGACCCTGAGATTATGACCTGAGCCAATTTTATTTCAATACATATAAGAGTTCTACTACAAATGAGAAAAATAAAACTACACAAGGCTTATAGCAGCTATTTATTGTTTTTTTTTTCTCATTTTTAAGCCTAAATCTTTTTCTCATGATAATTTCTTTTGTCTTCCTAGCACTGATCTATTTGATTACTAGCCAGAAATGCTAGGAGTAACACCCTGTGTCACTACACTTGTTAAGATGGCTAGAAAATTTACCAAAGAGAAATATCCAAATACAGCCCATTTTTCCTGTGGGATTAGAAGTGGTGTTTGCAGTATATTTCTAGTTCTTTGTTGCTACTAGGAAAAAAGGTAACTACCACCATCTTCCTTCATGGAATAATTGTTTTGCTTGATTACTATTATGTCTCTTTTTAAAGTTTGAGTTTTCTTAAGGCAGTGGATACATTGCCAACAGTAAGTATGTTTTGTTTTTGGTCTGCTCTGATATTCCTATTGGTTTTTCAGAGTGAGAAACACATTATCTGTAAAGAAGGTAAGCTCTCATTAATTTCCCTGTTAATAGCATTTATCATGATAAATGAGATTCTTATGAGTTTAATCTCCTGCTAGAAAAGACTTTCTCTGTCTTACCCTCAGTATTTTGGTGTTCGTGAGAACACATTGTACAGTACACAGTTCATTAATGTTTATCCATTTAGAGTATACCTCAGTACTCTTAGGAGTACTGGACCCCACTGACTGTTCAAATGATAATTACATTAAATAAGAATGAACATTGTGGTGTTCTGTTAGCATTTTAGTCTCCAGAGAAGGTTTGTAATAATTTAAGTTTAAAATTATCTTTTCATTTCTTAGTCACACAGTGGCTTCTTTTCTCTCTAGATGAAATATCATTAACATCCCCCCCCCCGCCAGGAAATGTATTCTATTAAGATATTTAAGACGTATATTAAGGTTTACTAATTCTAGAAAGGAGATTATAGATTGTATATGAAAAGGTGGTAAAAATTCAGAGTAAGGAAGGACCACTGAGAATTGTAGTTAGTTAAGGAGATCTCTAAATGGAAATAATTTAGAGCCCACTCTGTTAAAGAAAAGGTAGAGATAGAAATTGAGGCTTCAAGGAACAGAAAAAGTAACATCAAGTGCAAGAATGAACAGTCTGTTTTCAAGAGACCTTAAATAGATTAATCAGGTCAAATTCTCAGGACTAGAAAGAAATCATGCTGAATGACTGAAGGGGAAACCAGGAAATAAAGGGTCTTAAAGTGTAGGCTAGAAACATGGTCTTTAATCTGGAGTTTGGCATTGGTGTCTCATTGAGTTCCTTTGTCTGTGTCTCAACCTGGGAGGAGTTGGAAAGGGACTGTTGGAATGAGGGCAGGTGTGGCATACCAGTAGCTATTTAGAACTCTCATGCCCATCCTTACCTTGGAATTAGCTGACTTCACATCACTCCTTGATGTCATCCTCAAAGTTTAGGTAATGGAACCACCATGATTATTAGGAATTCTTTCACCTCACAACTGTCAAGTAAATGCTTCCTTTAAGTAAGGTTTGAGAATAGGGGTAAATCCACTATGGTCCATGTGAAGCTTAAACTACAATACAGGCATCTTTTCTTGGGGTCCCTTCTTACTGTCCACTCCATCTTCCACTATAACAAAGGAAAGGAATAGTAATAAAGGGACCTAGGGGTTAAAATCCACAATCCTTTGTCTTACTTTCCAAGGGAATTTTGTTCAGAGGAATAACCATGCTATTTTTTCTATCTATCTATCTATCTATCTATATAGACACATACATATTTTTATATCTGTCTGCACATTGTACTTAATAAGTTTGAAAATGGGAAGAAAAGGCTCCTTTCTTGGGCACTTTGAATCCCAGTAAATATAAAATGAGCTTCTTCAGTGATTTGTGGTCAGAGGAATTCCTGATTACATATCCTTGTAAAGAAATGTTTCCAGGTTTTAGGTGTGCCTTTAAATAAAACTTCCAGGTGGTTATTTCAAGTCCTTTTAAAAGTACCTATTTTTATTTGAAAGCTATTATTTTCAGAAATAAGGAAAATGTCACTCTAGGTTCTAGCTCTAAATTGATTGTTATTTAAGCATACCTTATTGGAATTTATACTGATTTATATAATAATGAAACTTTATTTTGCCATCTAATTTCTCCTACCACATCTCTCTCTCTAAATTCTAGTTGGTACTTGTTCAGTAGTGATTCATCCAAATGTTCCTGAGTCTTCTCTTTAGTTGACAGTGATAATAAGTACACACTATTTATTAGTACAAAGAGATCTCTTTGATATATTTAGGACTTATTTCTTCTCCTGGTGAATTCTTCGGTTACTCTCAGCCCCATCCCCACCACATAGACTACCTGACTTTCAAAAATACTTACTTAGGATCTATCTTTTTGGTTCTTTTGTTTTGTAGGTGAATGCTTCTCATAAAAAATTATGTCAGTATCATGAAAACTATCATCCCTTGCAGAGTTCTAATCCTGTCTTCAAATTTCTCCCTATTTCTTGTCAGGTATAGGGGAGGAAGGACTTTTTCTCTCCCCTCTTAGGTCTGTGGCTTAGGGTTGTGAGTCTAACTGACAAAAGACTGATGAACAGGAGAAAAGCATACAATTTTTTTGATGTTAATATTTTAACTTTTACGTACACACAGAGGCCTTTCTAGAAAATAAATGAAGACCTTAAAGAAAGGCCGGACCAAGGGACATATATCCCATTTTAATGAAGTGATAAATTGTGGAGATTTGATACGACTAAGGAAAAAGGGGTTTTGATTCGGGATATTAAATTGTGGGGGAAATAATGAGGAAACACATAGGAAAACTAATGGAAGATCAAGGTTATTTTAGTAAGGTTGGTTAGTACATATCCATCTTGGCACCAACTCCCATCCCAGGAATATTCTCCTCTTCCTGTACAGGGAGGGCACCTTTCCACAAGAAATGCATGCCCTACTTTTAGGTAGAAAGGAGATTAAAAAGCCTGTCATACATCTACTGATTCTCAGTTGACTTCAGCTAAAAATAATCAGTATACCACGGTGGCGTATTTTGGGGTAGTGTGTTCTGATCCCCTTCACAGGTTTAGTTTCAAATCTTGCATAAATAAGTGAGAATAAGAACTGCTAACCAAATAGACTTAAGTATACATGCTGACTATATAGCACAATAGAGTAGCCTTCCCCTTATCTGGGGAAAAAATGCATTTTTTTTTCCCTAATAAGCTACAAAGCAGATTAGTGTTGATACTGCTATAGAGAGAAACTATTGTATATTATTTTAGGCCTCATTTTATTTTGGCAAACAAATCATCCTATTTAAAAGTCTCAAAAATGTTTTCTTCCTTAGTTTCCCGTTTCACATTGGTTTTGTCCAGTCAGCTTTGACTCATTAACTTCCGTTTTCCCTAGGTTTTGCTGGCACACCTGGATATCTTTCTCCAGAAGTTTTACGTAAAGATCCTTATGGAAAGCCAGTGGATATGTGGGCATGCGGTAAGGAATCATATTTCCATGCAAATTTTGCAATAACCAGTATAGTTGCAAAGAGTATTTTTCAAATATGAAGTTAATGCTCTCTTGTGACCAACTTAGAGCAGTAGTACTCAAACCTCAGCCTACAACAAGTCACAGTGGAGGGCTGGCTAAAGCACAGATTACTACTTTGGACTGAGTAGGTCTAGGGTAGGAGCATCTGTGTTTTTTTCTCAAGTTCCCAGACAATATTAGTGCTTCCAGGGTGAGGGAGCACTTTGAGACCAGGGACACAGAGTGTCCCCAGGGGCGGCTGTGCATTTACGCTGCCATTGTCCCACCTCATTCAAGCAGCCCTTACCACAAATGCTATGTTTGCACCACATGTTTGGCAGGAAGTAAGAGAAAAAAGTGGATCTTGGAAAAGAATGACACTGGTCTGTCCTATGGACTGAACTCTGATTTAGGCCTTTAGCAACCAACTCCAATCAAATAAGTATCCTGTGCAGGTTCCAAGACATAATAATGTGGAGGATTCCCACCACAGTTTTTCAACGAAATTTCTGTGGGTTAACATATACAGCAAATAGATGAAAAACTGAAATAAAAGGGATACTATAGGATGCTCTGAAAGACTTTTCAACTGGGATTATTGACACAAACTAGTCCTCTAGGTTCCTGACACTGTATCATCACCACAAGTCTGTAAATAGTTTTGGTTTTAATGTGCTGCAGACAGACCTTGTTGCCTTTGGTGTCTGTCAGTAAGCCTGCAATGAGTTGGTTTCACAAAGAAAAGGAAAGAAAAGAAAAGACTTTGATTCTGAAAGTAACTTTTTAGATTTGGTTTTACTGAAAAAATAATAATAAATTCATTACCTCTACTTCGTAGTGATGGGTTATCCCTAACCTATATCTAACCACCCTGTATTTCTTGTCAGCTTTATCTTATTAGCAATCTTAAACTGGATGCATGTTGGGCCTCTAGGCTTACCTCCGTGCCTAGGAAAGCAGTTATGGGAGGAGTCACAACACCTGCATTCAAGTCTTTGCTTTACACCTACAAACCTTATCTCTAGTATCTTAGAGTTGGTTTCTTCACTTGTAAAACAGGAAAATATTACCCTCATAGGGATTGATTGTATGGGGTTCAAACAAAGACATTTTGTAGTTTGTAAAGAAATTTAAAATGCCAACAGCTATTACTCTAAAAATTTGGATAAATTAAAGAGTAAGGTTGTAGGTGTGCCCCAAGCTCTGACTTCCTCTTCCCTATCTGAGATCTTCTAAGCATGAACTCTATGCCTTTGAGTTAGAGCACTGTCACAGAATGTCCTTGCTCCAATCTAAATGCTAATGGCAAATAACTCACATGTTTCCCTTGCAACAGATCAGATCTCATCACAGATCTGTCTTTGCTGATGAATCTGAAAAGCAGCAAAGAGCATGCTGAGAGGTAGGCAGACACAGATGGGTTTTCCAGAGGATACATACAGCTGAGGGCAGTGTAGCTGGTGTGCTGTGCTCAGACCCTGAATACTAGTGGGTTCGTGTGGTAGAGACTGGTCAGTAGCTGAGGCAGGCCACTCACGAGGCTTTCCTTGCTGCCTTCATCGAAGGTCACCTCTAGCCTCCTCCTATCTCTCTTTTTCTTCATCCCTTCTTCTTTTCCTCTTTCTCCTCCTCCTGCCCACCTGCTTCAGGGGCAGGAGGTGGTATGTGCAGGGGTTGAGAACCCTCACCCAGCTCTTCAGTGCTCTTGCTGTAGGACCTGGCACCAATTTTAAGTAGGCCTGGTATCTCAGCTTCCTTGTGGGAAATGGAAAGTAAGAAAGTATTTCTTTAAAAATGAAGTTCCTAGATAACTGATACGTAGCCATGTGAGAGATACACATTTTATTAGATGATCCAGCATTATTGTTTGGATCATCAGTTGAATATTAGAACTTGACCTGGTTACCTGAATACCAACTGTCTGCCTCTCTCATTGCTTTCTTCTCGTGTCAGTTCTTCTCTTGCATGCCTTTGATTCTCCAAATGTGTTATTGTGGACCAGTTTCACAGCTCCTGAATCATATTTCATTCATTCAGATACTCCAAATAAACCATTTAATTCTTTCATTAGAAACATTTTTTTCATAATATATCAATTTTATTGGTACTGAAGAATAACAGATTATTTAAAAGAAACCCTCCAAAACTGGTATTTTGTATTAGGGTTTCTTCTATGGAGCAGAATCAGTTATATATACATATAAAAATGTCCAGCCCCTGCATGGGCTCTCTGCTTTAGTGGGTCTGAGCTGAGTACAGGCAGTTGCATTTTTAAAAGCTGACATATCATCAGAGTTTCAGCTCACTGTCTTAGACTCATTAAACACACTATGCTCAATTTTGTATTACTTTGGTAAATTCGAGTATACTTGGCTTTTGGATTTTTTGTTTGAGTGCATTGTTTGTATAGCTAACATTTTAAAATAATGGTATATTTTATAATAGGATTTCATATCTGTAAAATGTGAGGTAACTTACAGGGTAGAAGCTCTAACTCTCTTGGCTGGAAGAGGGAAAAAAGATGGGCAAAGAGTTTCTTCCCTCCTTATTGTCTAAGCTGTAGAACATTCTTAAGAACTGTGAGGAAATAGTAGATAGCACATGTATACCCGCAGGCACATGTGCAAACACATACAGGTCTCATGATGACTCTAGAAACTTAGAGCCATAAGGCATCTCCCAGATTTCAACCTCAGTTTTGCCATGGGAAGAGCCACCTTTCACTTTGCTAAGTTCTTTTTTTTTTTCCCCCAAAATTTTTTTTATTTATTTCAGAGAGAGAGAGGGAAAGAGACAGAGAGCGGGGATAGAGGCAGATGGAGAGGGAGAATCTCAAGCAGACTCTGCATTGAGCCTGATGTGGGGCTCACAACCCTGAGATCATGACCGGAACCAAAGCCAAGAGTTGGATGCTTAACTGACAGCCACTCAGAATCCCCTCACTTTGCTCAGTTCTATTCTTACCTTTGCTTTCTTCCCAAAATTTTCTACAAACAGCCAACTCCCTTTGTGACAAACCATGCTCCATTTAGAGTATATATTTCCTAACAGTTCTCATTTTCCTTAGAGATTGTGACTTTTTAAAAATTGTGTGCCTTGAAATGCATTTGGGATCACACAGGTAACTACAGAAATGCCTTAGATATTCCACTATCACATATTTGGGGGAAATGGTCTGCCTTCCACGAACATCATAATAGAGTCTTCTACTTTTTGTTACATTCCTGGATCCCTGCAGTGGGTTTGGAATATTGTTTTACCATTTTATTGTATTTACATTAAATTCTCTTTATTTCTAAGACAATCCACCCTTCTTCACAGAACCACCAAGGTAATGTACACATCATTAGATTGTTTTAAGTAATGGCACATCTTGAGAGAAACTCTTTTTTGGCCATTCATCAGCACCGGCTCTTGCCTACTGAATACTTCTTTTCAAGTCTAGACATTGGGTAGTGTGATAGGAAATGACAATGCCCAGATAACAAAAGAAATACAGAATAAGACACTTAGCAGAATGGCAGCTCATCTTCTGTGAATTAAGCTGTGAACGCTCACCACAGCAGATTGTCTTTTTAGCAGTTGACATAGAGCAGAGTGAAGCACACTGTTGGTATAATGGCTAAAAGAAGTCTGTACATTATCTTTATTAGAAATATGCAAATATTGGTATCTAAGAAATTCCAAATACTTTACCAGCATTACCTTGCTTTTGAGACCTCACATGGAATGTAATCTGACCTTTACTCAGTCTTTGAAAGCAACTAGGCCAAATAATAGACATTGATGAAGCAAGAACATATCTGTGTGTTGTACAATTAACAACAGTAAATTGATTTTGATGGCTTTCTTGCATATATAGCTGTTTCCATTATTCCCCAGTGGAATGAGCAAATGTTCTTTATAGATGTCACTGAATCACTGGATTTTAACAAAACTTTCTTCTACACCTTAGCTCAAAAAATAATAAATGTAAGCCCACATAAACATAGCCAACACACACACACACACACACACACACTCACCTTTGTCTTAACTATGTCTCTCTCTGAATTAGATATCACTCAGAACAGTTATGAGTGATAATGAATTAGTAACTATCACAGAACGATCATGACTTTTCATGAATCTTAAATAAGATTCTCTATGGTGATGCCAAAGAATTTCCATTTGATCAGGCTTGCTAGGTAATCCTCATGCACACCAACGTTGAACAGCATTACCCTAACTAGTTGCAGATTTCTTTAGGGCAGCATATTTTAGGATTCTTGCACAATATAGCAGAGGTAGCAAACAGGTGATTTACAGATAGGTTGGCAAGACTAGTGGGCCTTTCACTTTGGGAAGTGTTGACATTTATTTTTATATTTATAGTTTATTATCAGGAGATTTTTTGTAAAACTACCAGTTTCTGGCTTCTCTAAAGTAATCAAAAGAACTAATAACAAAGTGCTTTTGTTCTTAAATAGCAGCTATACCTGTCAGATAATAGACACGTGCTCTCCCCTGGCTACCAGTACCCCTGGCCCCCATACACAGTGCAGGCTCAGGCATTCATTTCTGTCTGATGCTGAAAGAAATGTCAGTTTGCCACCCCTATTAAATGGCATAGTTTCCATCATCTGGAAAATAACTTTCTATCTTACTGACATTGATCGTCTAGATCTTTCTTCTACTGATCATTGGCCCTGTAGGTCAGAGTTAATTAAACATTTCCTATTTGAATTGTATGATTTTTTTTTGCATAAGGTATTACACTATAAAAGAGACCCATACCTATTCCTCATATAGTTAATTATGCATTTCCAAACTCCACTCATAGTATGCCCTTTATTGACTGAGAGCATTAAGTGCGTGTCTTGTTAGATTGTTCCATTAACTTCCCACGGAACTCTGAGTTTCTCAACATTGCTTCTTTCTTTCTCCTTTCATCAGAGCAGTCATTAGAATGCTTTAATCATTAATGT